GTCTAAGTAGATGCATCCACCATTCTATCCTATCTTCTTCCAAGTAGTGGAAGATCTGCCTTAGGAAAAAAGTGTAGAAATTTACCGTAAATTACTTTCCCTTCTGCTCAAAGTTTGCCACATCAACAAATGGTGCGTTTTTATCTTCCTTTACAAGTGGAATAATCTGAGAGAGGGAACATTTTTCTTACAGAAAGTCTTTAACAGGTGGCAAATGTAGCCATGAACAACGTGTCAACCTTGAACAACATCACTATGTTTCCTTGCTGGCAAATATGGTTTGCTCTAGAAGTAAAGTTTGGATTCAAGGTAAATAACAAATATAAAAGTAGAAAAGCAGCTGTGAGCAATTCTCTACTTACTTCAGTCAGAAAAAGTGAATACACCTATTTTGCTGAATTATCACCTATTATCACTTTAGTATCCTCTTCAAAGAGATGGTTCTCCCTTCAAACCAATTAGTTCCTTTGCTTTACTGTCCAGTCCACAAACTTCCCATTAGCTTTTACCCAAGTCAAGATCTCAACTCAGATCACAAGAAATTAAATATTACCACGTATTGCACCATCCATTTCCAAGAAGCAGCTTCCACACAGCAAGATAATTAAAGGGTATCTTTCACAGCATGAAATCTCTGTGGGATAAGCATGGCAAAAAGAAACCCCAAAAATATTCAGAAAGTAAGATTTTCTTTTAAAAATAGCTTGCCATTTACCAACAACAACAAAAAAATTATAGAGTATGGCAAAGAAATAGATTTTATTCCTTCATAATCTTTCACAGGTATACTCTTTTGAATACAAAAATGTGCTAAGTTTCTTGGGTGTAATTTTAAAATGAAAGAAAATTATGAAGAAATATATACAATATAGAGGCCTGTATAGTGTGGGGAGAATTTCAAGTCTAATTGGTTTGAAAGAGTACAAACTCGGGCAAATGCAGTCTTGCTTTTGCAAAATCTCATTGTATTTACATGTGCAATGCTGAGAAGTCCCTGACATGACAAATGTCAAGTACAAGTACTGGATTACTCTGCCTCAGCATCAC